GCTTCTGAGCTCTACTTCATCTTCTTGATGACAAGACACATAGAGCTACGCTAGAGCCCTGGAGCTGAAGGAGCCACGTGGACACCCACACCAGCGCTGACATGGTTCCACTGCCACTGGATCCACAAGACTTTCCACCCACTGGCCTGTGATCTTCCTGCATTTGGCATCGTTGCATGTTTTGCGTGAGCCTTAAGAGGAATTTATAGATTGGCATTGGACATATGGACTTGATCTTGACTGGACTGGGATGTTTTCTTAATGTATAATTACTCTTTGATATAAAGTTCCCTCTTACATGTATGAATGTCTCTAGATTTGTTTCTCTCATCCACCCAGCCTAACACAGAAGCCATATGTGTAAGCATTATACCACCAGAGCTCATCTCATATGTTGGGTTGTGCCAATCCCCTGTAAGAGTAGGAGAGCGTTCCTCAAAGAGCTACACCAACACTTCATCGTAGTCCGTGTGTGTGGCAAATTACATTATGAGACGTTTTTTAGACCTATCTTCTGTACTCTCACACATTCTGATTCTTGAACAGCCAGGGAGTACTGTTCCCCCTAAGGTTTTCCACAGAACTCACCAAAGTTATGTAAGACATGCTTAAATTCTCTACCGGCAGCATTGAAAAAACGCCCCCAGCCACACTCATTGTCATCTAGTCCATTGAGACTCGCAGCAGCTCACAGCAAGATGGGGCTTCTGATGCTGTAAAGCTTTATGGGATCAGGCAACCTCATATTTCTCCCACCGAGCAGCTGGCAAATTTGAACCAGTGGCTAGTCCTATGAGTAACCCACAGCACCATCAGGGCCCCTATGAACCAAAAATAGTAAATGAACTAGAAAGAATATATACCAAAAGAGTTGAACATGGAGACTCAGGTACCTGCATACCAATGCTCTTTCCAGCACCAGCCACACTAGCCAAGATGGAAACAATCCATATGTCCATCAACAGACAAAGGGATACACAAAGATGATATGGCCATGCAACAAAATACTCATTAGCCATCAGGCACCTGCTACCAGACCGAATCAACTGTCACTGAGTCCGTTCTGACTCATAACAACCCTCCATAGGGTTACTGGGGCTGTAAAAATTTATGGGAACAGATAACCTCTATTTTCTCCTACAGAGCAGCTGGTGGGTTTGAACCACTGATCTTGTGGTGAGCAGTCCAGTGCTTATCATACAGCACCATGAAGGGTCATGCTACTGTACAGATAAATCTTGAAAATATGATGCTCCATTAAATAAGCCAGACACAAAAGGACAAAAAATTCCTAGTACTCAAGTTATAGGAAATATATAAAGTAAACTATTAGAGAAATAAAGTAGATTAGAGTTTAACCGGGGCTCATGGGAGAGGGAAATGGGGAATTTTGACTAGTGGATATGGATTTTCTGTTTGTGATGATGGCAATGTTCTGGGAATGGTTACACAACGTTGTAAATGTACTGGCTCACTGCCATCATGTCAGCTCCAACTCGTAGTGACCCTACCGTGCAGAGTAGAACTGCTCCTGTGGGTTCCAAGCCTGGAAATCTTGCCAAGAGTAGAAAGCCTCATCTTTCTCCTGTGGAGCAGCTGGTAGTTTCGATCTGCTGATCTTTCAGTTAATAGTCCAACTCGTAACCCACTCCGGCTCCAGGACTCCTTTGAACGTACTTAGCACAACTGAGTCATAACTTAAAAGCCAATAGAATGGTAAAACTTTTGCATATTTTAATACACACACAAGCTGCACCTGCTGTCCCTAAGCGGATAGGAAATGAATGTTTCTGAGGGTGACCCAAATGTCTTGCCCTTTATTGTTTCTTTTTGTGGGTTGCCTGAGTACTCTATGTGCTTACACCAGAGTCCGAGGACATCGACTCTAAAGAGCAGAGCCAAGAGGAAAGGGAGGGGCTGGGTCCCATCCACAGACACGTGACAAACAACTGATGGCCCTCAAGGACTTGCCTCCCTGCAAGGGCACACAGTGAGTGGGTATCATCTGACTCAACAAATTCATGTTTGAAATGTCCCCACGTCCACAGCTCAGTTTCTGGGATGACAACATTACTTGACTTCAGGAGTTCCAGTACGGCACTGCAGGGCTGTCTGAGTGGTGCGGAGTCCCTCACATCCACATACCCAGGTAGACTTTAGTTTTAGCAAGCAAACTAAAATTCAAGTGCCTCTGCTTCTATATGTGACAGAAACATTATTCTGAAATAATTTTATTTCAATTTAACTTCTGGTGAAAACATTCTGGCTTTCTTGTCTCTGTTTCTCTCAT